TTAAATGAAGGCCTTAATTGATATTAAAATGAATTAAATGTGATTATCATGGCATTTCAAATTATTTATAAAAAAAAAATAAGGCAGAGAAAAAGCTACAGAATAGGAATGCGCAAACTTGAACAAAATTGGCTGGAAAATGAGGAATTTGGGACATTGATGCAGCCTGTTGACAGGAAAGATGAAGGATTGTAACGTGTTTTAGATAAATATTTATATATATATATATATTAGGGGTGGAACGGTTCATAAAAACCACAGTTCAGTTCGATTCACGGTTTCGTGGTCACGGTTTTCGGTTCGGTTCGATTCGGTATATGTTGATTGTTACACCGAAATCCCATAAGAATTTATGAAATTAATGAAAAAATCCCCCCAAAAATAATGGATTGTAATTATTTTAAAATGATCCGCGGAAACCCTGGATCATTTCCGTATGTTTTGCTGCTTTGAATTTAGTCATCTTACGCATGCTCTCTACCATCTCCAAGGGACTCAGAGGGGAGCGGACGGGAGCTACAGTGGAGGCTGTAGACTTTGATTTGAGCAGCCGGTCTGGAGCGCAGCGGGGGTTGCTGACGGAGTATGAGGGATTTCGGGGTTAGCATGACATGTTGGTCATGTTGCTGTTAGCATAAACAAAACGTGTTGCACAATGCTTGCACAGTGTTGCACTTTTATCCACAACTTTCTTTCCGCCGTCATCGTAGCTCACTCTAAATGCAAAGCGGTCCCATACAGCAGACCTATAAAGTGCTGCTGGCGCGTCTTCCAACTCCTGTTCTTTCCCACTCGCCATTCCGACACAATTCTCCACAACAACTGATTTTTTCCCTGCTACACCCGGCTAAGCTGCTTCGCTTCTTCTTCTTGTTCTTTTTGACTACTGGTGGTTGGCTTTGGTCGCAGTACCGCCACCTTCTGCTCTGGAGTGTAAACGCTTCGCCTATGAGAAAAAAGAGCAGCGCACGAAACACACGCGAATCGAACCGAGACAGTCGAACCGAACGGTTCAGAAGGTTTTCATAAATCGTCCCATCCCTAATAAATATATATATATATATATGAGATAGTCATGGGTACTTCTTGATGGCATTAAAATTATTTCTAAGATCATTAAAAAGCATTAGAGTTACTAATTCCTGTATAAACCCTGTAAATGAGTATTTCCAGAAAACATGACACTTCTCGAAACGTTTCCATCGATTATTCATGCTTTTGTATTCACTTCATGTAAATGGCACCAGTTTATCATCTTAAGGCACTTTAGAGTTAACTTAATCCAGTCATAGATTAATTAAAAGTTATGTAAGGAAATCCGGCTGGTTTATTGAGTCGTTGACTTTATAGAATTCCATTAATCGGAATTGAACAATTAATAAAACTGCCCTTAGATTGCCTGCAATGTGAAGTTATAATATATTGAGCAGAAAATGTCCAAGACATTGGCTAATGATCGGTTTATGTCCAATCACATTATGCTGCTTAGGTTAACAAACTGTAAAGTTAACAGAAATCTGTATTTAGGCCCAGTGTGGCTCCTGCCTTTTGGTCACAGCAAACAAATAATTTCATAAAATGAACAAATAGAAAGTTTCAGATGTTATATTAATAAAATGCTCTTAAGCTTAATATTTGCCTGCATTAGGAAATTAGATTTGAGACACTTTTTCCCCATATATTGGAAGGATTGCTTCTAAATAACGCAACTTTGAATACATTTTTAGCTGTTTACAATCATTTTTGTCTGTAGGTGTTTAGATAAAAGACTTTGGGCCCGGATTGACCTGAGCATCAAGCGCACTGTGACCCCTCAGGCCCTCAAAGGCATCATTAAGAGACAGCCCGTCACGCTCGACCTCTCTTGGACAAACATCTCCAAAAAGCAGCTCAACTGGCTGATTGGCCGCCTGCCTGGTACGACCAAGCTCATGTTATACAATTGATTTTTAATTTAATGGAGAGAAAAAAAATCTAACTTTTACCTGAAGTGGTGCTGCACTGTAAAAATGGATCCGAACTATTGTTTTCCAGGGCTAAAGGATTTGATGCTGTCCGGTTGTTCCTGGTCGTCTATTTCAGCTCTCTGCTCCACTGGGTGCCCGCTCCTCCGCTCTCTGGACCTGCGTAATGCTTACGGCGTCAAAGATGCCCAGATCAGGGATTTAGTCATACCTCCAGGTAAATAGAGGATCCAGATTGCAGCTATTGGGTTTAAGCAGCGGTTGGATATTTATTTTCTGTTGACTTTCACCAGGCTGTGATAACCGCAGTCAGCTGAGGAACATGCAGTGTTTGCGGCTTGCAGGTCTGGACATCGGCGACTCCACCCTGCGACTGATAATTCGCCACATGCCCCACTTAACAAAACTGGATCTTTCCCACTGCAACAGCGTCACCGACCACTCCATCAACCTGCTGACCGCGGTCGGCTCATCCACCCGAAACACGCTGACAGAACTCACCCTAGCAGGTGAGCCATGCTGAGAAAGGAAAGACTCCCTGTTTTTTTATTTCATCACTCTTACCATTTCCCTTCATCCTCCTCAGGTTGCAGCAAGCTGACGGACACGTGTTTGAAATATCTCCGCCCCCTGTCTTGCATCTCTTTGCTTGACCTGCGAGGCTGCAAGGGAGTTTCCAGAAAGGCTTGCGAGGCCTTCATCTCCGAGCTGTCAGTCAACACACTCTACTGCCTATCGGATGAGAAACTGATCCAGCGGATATCCTAGTCGCCTGCCTTCTTTCGCTGCTGGGATGATTTGAGATGCAAAAAGCAGAGGGTGTGGATCCTGACCAGACTCTGACAGAGGAAGCTCGCATGCACAAGGGGTGGGGTCTGAACTGGAGGGCCTTCTTACTTCACCGGTGTTTGGTAAAAAGTGTTGTTAAAGCCAGATCAATATGTCTTACTTTTATTTTCTGTGTTCCTACAGACACTCAGGAGTCTTTTCGCTTTTCATTAGATTTTTGGTTTTCTTCAGAAGCATATACTTTTTCATTAACTGGAATGGGAGAATGGTTCGCTAGTTCACTTTAAACTGTGGGTTTCCACCGCCTCATTTCACCAGTGTCGACTCCTATCACAAGCTCCTGCCTTTCAGAATAAGATGAGCAAAGCTTTTAAGTTTCTATCTTTGGGATATAAAAATGTATCTATTATCATTTTCAATTTCAGTTACATTTGAATGCTTCTAATGGATTAAGTAGTCAGCTTTCGGTTCATGCACAACATAGCTTGGATTTTCTTTTTAACTTTTAAAGTGAAGTCAAAACTACTGGACTGACTTGTGTTTACCATTGTGCATTCAGCTTTGTAATTAAAAGACATACTGCAGCAGTACATCAGTGGTTTACACTGTCAGGTTAAAAAAAAAAAAAAAAAAGGTACAAAGACTGTGTGAATAGGCAATCAAAATAGCAACAAGACCTCACCCCCGGGATAAGGGCAGGTTGTGGAGGATAAGCCAAGGATAAGGTATCAGATAAATGGTGCATTTCAAAGCAGTTCAACTTCAGGTGCTATTATTTTGAAAGTCGTATTGCTTTGTTTTTGTATAGACATTTAAAGCAAAACTATTGTAGATGAAACTACTCCCCACTCCTCTTTGATACAATTTCTTTTATATATATATATATAGAGAGAGAGAGAGAGAGGAAGAGATGTAGTCACCTTTGTTCACTTGTCCGTTTGCGTGGAGGTGTAAGATTTCATTTGGAGCGTTTGCTCATTTGTTTTTGTTCCCTTCAAGTGTTAGATCTCTGAAACCAAGCTCTCCTCCTGTCTGCTCTCCTGGCCATATCTCTTGAGAATGAATATAATTATATAAATATTTACTTTGTGTAAATGTGTTTTTCTTTTAGACTATAAACGGACAGATCCTGTAGCATTGTAATTATTTTCAGAAGCTTTTTTTTTTTCAACTTCCATGTTATTTTTCAAGAAAAATAAAGAAAATTGACAGTGATTACCGAGTAATTACCGACTCTACCACACCTCTAAAACACTTTAGAGCAAATGCATTTTAATAGGAAAAAGATAAATGGAGTTCTAAAATGAATGTTATTAATGAAAGCTATGATTTATTTAGAATGCTGTGGAGAAAGTTGGTCCCTTGTAATTTATTTTAAAATTGACACTATTGTTACTGAGCAGACTATTCATGGGTATGGGTTCTATGGCATCTCCTTCAGACTCGTCTACCTTAAGAAGATCTTGCTAAAACCATGTTTCTACCGAGTATTCAGAGATGGACCATCTGGTGTGCCGTTGCAAAACCAAAGTGCTTTTCTATCTTGAACCGATCACTGAGGCAGAGTTCGTTATTCTTTTAATTCAATTTTCCAAAGCAGCCATCACAACTTGTTTCACTGTAGGATGTTATTTTATCTGAATGGCATAAAGTCTTACACCAGGTTTAAGTGGACACATACCTTAAAAAAAATCTACTTCTGTTTGACAAATATTAGCATTTGTATTCAGTTTTCAACAGTTTTTAATTTCTATTTTTTGTTTTTTACATAAAAGTATTCCTTTTTGAGTGGCTTGTAGTTGCTGCTTATTTTCACAGTTTGTGGATAATGACTTCTAATGGATAATGTCTTTCAATTTAGTCTTTCCTCCCCAGACTGATAGAAGTCTGCGACTTTGCTTACATGTACTAGAATTTCATTAGATGTGGGCCAGATGTTTTGCTTCTTTTTTTTTTTAATCCATTTTTTGTTGTCAGGTTCAATAAACCGTTTTAATCTTCAGCTCAGGCATTAATCAGCCCATAGTATCACCAGTGCAATCAATGTGGTTAATCATGTTCAGACATGAGAGGGACATTTGATTTTCCCTTTTCATATAATAAATCTTTCCTTTTAAAATGCATTTTTAAGTTGTCATACAATCAACTGTTAGATTAAAAAAAAAAGGTAATCTATGGGAGGAAACACTTGAACACAGCTCTAAGATTTGCATGGATGGCTGACAGTAGAAAAAAAAAAGAAAATAAGCTCCTTCCCTGTGGGCTCCACCCAGCATCTCTGCCACCTGGAAACAAAGCCTCTTCCATCTAGATAAACGCAGCTGGTAATTGTGGTAAAGTTGTAGACAGAGGATCAGCTGCCATCATCTCCTCTGGCTCTGAACTGGAGTGACCTGGATGTGGAAGCGGAACAGGGGACCACATCTGCTTTATTTTGGTTACAGCAGCGATGGAAACAGAGAATGCTCTCATCTGCACCGGGGGGGCAAGCTAGCTAACTTTTATATCTGCTTTTAGTTTCTTTGACTGCTCCACGATGCGTATTTAATAAGCATGAAAGGAAACTCCTCTTGGTTTGTTGTTTGAACCAAACCCATCCTGCAGAATGGAAACCAGCAGCAAACAGAGGCTGAAAACAATGTTGTTAGCTAGTTAGCTAAGGTTAGCCAGCCTAGCTGCTAGTTAACTAGTGGGCTGTTTTCCCACTACAAGCTTTACTGCTTAACAGTAGATATATCCATTAGGCAACCAAGTGGCTTTTTCTCCAAGTGACAAACTTTTTCTCTCATAGTTTTTAACATTTCCAAGCAAACCGCCGAAGCTAGCTAGTTAGCTAGCCAGCGGCGATCAATTTCTGTGCGATCCCTTCTAAAAGTCTTTGTCGGCCATGGCTCAGGAGGCCTTTCCTTTGCATGTTCTCGTCTGGAACAATCAGTACCTAGAGTTGGACCGTGAGCTGCAGAAGAAAGAGGTGAGTCTGCTCGGATGGAGGCTTTCCTACAGGTGCGCTTTTCTGTGGCGCCGCAGTGCGCTGACGCAGCTTCTGTTTGGGTTTAATCGGAGGTGCAGCAGGATCTGGATCGACTGGATCCGCGGGGGCGCACCCCTCTGGAGCTGGCTGTATGTCTGGGCCACCTGGAGTCCACCCGGGTGTTGCTCAGGTACTCTGCAGACCCGACCTATTGCAACTCACAGGGTTGGACCAGTAAGTGCCCTTTAAGCTGCTGCCCCGCGTCCCCAGCCTGCTGTCAGTTTAACCGCCTGGATATTTGCTTCAGTCTTGCAGGAGGCGGTGAGCACCGGGGACCCAGAGCTGGTGCAGCTGGTGCTTCAGTACAGAGACTTTAAGCGAGCTACTGAGAGACTGGCGGGCATCCCGGAGCTTCTCAGCAAACTGAGACAGGTCAAAATCCTCCTTTAATCTATAATATTTCATTTTATTAATCCACACACTCCTCTCTGATGTTCTAAAGTCAACTTTTCAAAGATGCTTCCAGTTAAATCAGGGACCTACACTGTCTACGTTATGTTTTCTGCTTTGATCAATGTTTTCAAGGTATTTCAGGGTCTAAAAATCTTCACGAGAAGATGGCAGATGTTTGAGGAAAGTTTTGCCTCATCAACTTGTGAACACACTTCTTTTGTGCTTTTAGGCGCGGGACTTTTATGTGGAGATGAAGTGGGAGTTCACCAGCTGGGGTGAGTGGAGTTCAGGTTTCCATACAGAGGTGTATTTCAGCACCACAGAGGCTGGACAGCTCCTGCTAGCTGCAGAGGATGTCCACATTAAAATGACACCTTTAGATACCAGGGATGAGAGATGGAGGAAAACAAACACTCATCACCAGAGCAAAGACTGGAAATGTGCAATTTATTTCGTTTCTGATCGGTCAGCAACTGTTAAGATTTTGAAAAATCGGGGGTTCTTAAAACCAAGAGCATGCAACAATTTTTTCTTTCAAAATGATCAGCTTGTATGTTGATGGTTTATGATTAGTTAATTTAACATCTAATAATAGTTTAAGACATGCTAAGAAACGTGAATACTGATAATTTTGTAATGCTTCAATTTTGTGTTGCGTTTATTGCTACTAAATGTACTAAGAAAGCCCCCAGCTAATCTGTTTATATATATATATATATATATATATATATATATATATATATATATATATATATATATATATATATATATATATATATATGCTATTAATGTGCAGAAAAACAAGTCAGAATTTAGGAATAAAAAAAGAAAAACATAGTCTTTACCATCAGCACAAACTTGATCTGTCGGTTTCTACCGGCCAGTTCCTGGGGGCCGGTATCCTGCAACTTTTAGAGCCGTCTTTGGACCAACACACCTGAATCAAATGGCTGAGTTACCTCCCCAGTATGCAGACAGTTCCTCCAGAGTCCTCTCAATCATCTAATTACTTGATTCAGGTGTGTTGAACCCAACTTGCATCTAAAAGTTGCATGATACCGGCCCTTAGGAACTGGAATTGCCCACCCTTGTTCTATCCCATACTCAGAAGTCTATGTAGGAATCAGATTGTGTCATATTTGATTAGCTAAAAAAATGTTTTAGGTGAAATATCTTCCTTTTTTTAACTGGTAAAAAAAAGTACATTTTAGAAATTGTTATGCAAATTGAAATGTTTTATGTCTTGGCTCTTCAGACCTGGCCTCATAGATTTGTTGCCTTAGGCTAATGTATAAGTGATTCCTTTTATAGCAAGTGGATAACAAAAATCAATGATGTGAAAACATCAGGAGCCTTGAGTGGAAAAAAGGTTGCTAGGCATTAACCTTAGTTTGTTTGATATTTAAAAAAAACGGCAAGACCAATGATGGCAAATTTTGCTCTGGTAAAGACATAAAATCAGATTTTCATGTAATGTACCTTCTTTTGTTACCACTTTGTGTCTTTCTCTGTCCCTTTCTGTATAAAATATTTCTCCTCTTCCTCTGCTCTCATCCCAGTTCCCTTGGTGTCAAAGGTTTGCCCCAGTGATGTCTACCGGGTTTGGAAAAGCGGCTCATGCCTCCGTGTTGACACCACCCTCTTGGGCTTCGAACACATGACTTGGCTAAAAGGACGGCGCAGCTATATTTTCAAGGGTGGAGGTGAGTGATAAAAACCATCAATGAACCAGAGAAGATTCCAAGTCTATTTTACATTTGCTGACTTACCGTCTCTCTCCCTTAGATGATGGTGCAGTGGTGATGGAGGTGGACCATGAGAAGCAGGTGGTTTACACTGAACCCCTGGTGTTGTCCCCTCGTGATGCACCCTCCCTCCTGGCAGCCATGCAGCCTTCCCAGGAGAACACGGCCCAGAGGCTCACATCGCCCATCGTCTCCACACACCTCAACACGCGCAACATTTCCTTTGAGCGGTAACAGCTGGATATCCGAACCTCGCTGTCTATGTAGATAACATCCGTGCATGACCTACTGTCTGTCTTTATTTTACACAGGAACAAGTCAGGAATCTGGGGCTGGCGTTCTGAGAAGACAGAGGTTGTCAGCGGTTACGAAGCCAAGGTAAAGAGACTGCTGATCAAATGTGGTGCTGATTGTTTCCCACGTAAAATGTATTTATTATTTTAGTTATTTTCTATCAGTAAAAGTTATACTTCATTATGTTTTATATATTTCTGTGTGTAGTTCAAAGGTGTCTCATTACAACTGACCTATAGGGTGTATAAAGTTGCATATGATCCTTTATTCCTCTTGTCTGACTTAATCTCTGACTCATCTGAATGTCCTCAGATCGCTGCTATTAATCCTTTCATTATCATCATATAATTCCTCTTTTGATCCGAGGAGCTCTTGATGAATGTTTGAATAACAGTTTCTTTTTCCAGCCCAACCAAGTGTGATTTGATATTTCTTCAGGGTCACACACTGATAAACCTTTATTCATGTTTGACAACTTAACCAATAAAGCGTCTTTTCCATGTCTGAGTGGCGTGTGACTCCAAAGATGTGTTTGATCTGATGCTGATCGCTACTGTTTGGAGCTTTATTGAAGGCTTGAAGAGACGTCCATGTTTTCTCTTTTGTGTTTTCAGGTTTACAGCGCCACCAATGTGGAACTGGTGACCCGTTCGAGGACGGAGCATTTATCAGACCAGGACAAGTCAAGAAGCAAAGGTGAGAAGACATGCGACATAGGAACTGTAACTATCATTATGTCTATAGGATGTGGGGGTTGTCAAGGTAATTTAGTCACTGCAGTCATTGTTTGTTTTTTTCCTTTTACAACAAAATAACTAATTTTATCTGGCTGCATTTATTCTAAAAAAAAATAAAAAGAACATCAAAGCAGTGTTTCATTATAAAACAATATCTAAAGCTTTGAGCTCACCATGGAGGCCTATTGAGAATTGGATTGAGCTGTATCTAAACAGCTGACTTGTTTCAGGTTGTAAACTCTCGACAGGTAATTAAATGCACCATGAACCTTTTGGATTTCAGTAACACCAACAGCTGCTTCTTTATTGCGAGTTTCATCCACATTTACTGGAGTTTTGTTTGTATCAGTTCTATTTCTAAGATCTGCTTTCTTACTCAACAAAAAAAAAAACATAAGTTTATTTTATGTGTGCAGCTCACAAAACAAATTCAGTCTATGTGAGGGAAACTTGGGGTCGGGCCAACATGCAGATAGTGACACTTGGTCATCAGAGATCCCTGTGGGAAATGGACCACAGGTTTGGCTGCATAAAAAATAAGAGATAAACAACCTGAATGGATTGATAGGATGATAAATATTTTACACACATTTAGAAGTATTTATATGTTTCACCTAATATAGTTTAAAATATCAATCCTATATCTTGCTGTATTGATTAAGCAAATGTATTTGTTGTTTTTCTCAGGCTCAAAGACTCCTCTGCAGTCTTTCCTGGGAATCGCAGAACAGCACACTGCTCATAACGGGGTAAGAGTCTCCATAGAACGTGTTTATTTGCTCACCGGCTCGTTCATCCTTTCACAAACACTCACAGCTGCCTTGTCCCTTTCAGAGCAACATGTCCCAGTGTGCCAGTCCTCACAACCCCACGGCCATCACTGCCGAGGAATACTTCAACCCCGAGTTCAACCTGAACGGCCGGGACATCGGACGCCCCGTCGAGCTCACCAGCAAGGTGCAGAGGTGCGGTAATGGCAGAGCGGCTTCAGGTCAGCATCATGTTTTACGTCACAACATTTTCCTTTTTCCGTCTTCCTTCTGTTTGCCAGGTTTAAAGCCACACTCTGGCTGAGTGAGACACACCCTCTGTCCCTGGCTGAGCAGGTGACGCCCATCATAGACCTCATGGCCATTTCAAACGCCCACTTTGCTAAACTGCGAGACTTCATCACCCTGCGGCTCCCTCCAGGCTTCCCTGTCAAGATAGGTGAGAGCGGACATAACACTTAATACCTGGAAGAATCTTCTCTGCAGCTTTGCCGTTTTAGGAGCCAACGTGTTTAATGCACTAAAGCAACAGCGGAAGGATTCCTATCTAGTTTCCTTTGTTGCAGAGATGTCTTGTGTAATAATTAGATATTAACCGTCTGCCCATCAGCATCTCCTAATCTTCTGTTTGATTAATCTCCCTCTCTGTCCCTTAGAGATCCCGCTCTTTCATGTTTTGAATGCCAGAGTGACGTTCAGTAATCTGTGCGGCTGTGACGAGCCGGTCAGCTCGGTGACGGTTCATCAGCCGGAGAACCCTGGAGAAGCTGGTAATTATGAGTCAGAGAAACGCCCCAAAAATATATATGAAAAATATTATATGCAGCTCCTTCCACACATAACAGGGCAACAACTAAAAAAGAAACATCAAATAAATTGAACAGTTTATTGTAGTATTTTCTAATACTCTATGAATTGTGAGGTTTTGCACAACTGTCCTTAATAAAGCAGCTTCTTTTTTTACTTTAATGTTCAATAAAGCATGTAGGAAGTGCTGTAATGTGGTTTTATTTTCCACATGCCTAGTTTCTGGATGCTATTGCTGATCAGAAGCCCTCTGTGTGAATCAATCACAGAAGATGATTGATTTCTGGCTGTAATCCTAGTCGCTCCCAGGTTTTAATCTATCACACTTTTATTTTTCTTTTCAGGGCAGTGCCCCTCTGATTTCAATTGCGAGGTTGACCCCTCTGTGTTCGAGCCCCCTCCGGACTACACCACGCTGGGGCCGGGCCGCAGCGAGCCCCTGAGGGATGAGGATGACAACCTGCTGCAGTTCGCCATCCAGCAGAGTCTGCTGGACGCTGGAACCGAGAGCGATCAGGTCTGAGCTCCATTCCCAGTCCGCCACGAAGATTACAGCTCATCAGTAGAGAGGAGACTTTGCTTAGGGTAGATTTATCGATGGATGGATTTATTATAGCAAGTAAAATGTGATGAAGTTTGCTAGCAATAACATTTAAGTTATAAAGTTGAGTAGACTGTCATTTAATAGACCAGGAAGAAGAGATATAAGGCAGCTAGAATGAGTGCTCTGAAGTGTATTGGATTATGAACCTTATGAGGTGTGGAGTACTGCTATAGATATAAAGGAAGATGTGGTGTTTTGATTTTCTAGAATAGACACTCCTAGTGCAGGTAGAGAATGATTCTAAGCTCCAGATTTCCCTCCTATTTATTTCCACATTAATTAAACGCCCCTAATATTCCTCTTCTGTTTGAAATGAAGAATAGAATGTTATATTAAATCTAAAGGTGGATTAAAGGCTGGACTTTGACTGAATGATGATAAACTAAGAGAAGCTGCCAATTAGATGTTAATTTGCTGCACTTCCTGAATCTTTAGGGCTGTTTTCGGCTCTTCGTATTTAGCTCCATAGATTTCCCCTTAAATATGATTGGTTGTCCTTTCCCATTTGTCAGTGCTGGGGGTCTAAGTATGTACCGGCCCTCTCAAGCCTTTCATCTCGCAACAAAGACCAAATTTGTGGAAGACCTTTCCTATCCTATCCTTTCGGTAGAAGTGTGTACCTGAGCTGTGAATCTCTGCAGCTCTTCCAGAGTAACCATGTGCCTTTTAGCTGCCTGATTCATTCACTCCCTCATTGCCTGTCCTCTCAGTTAAGCTCAAAGAGCTCTTTGGTTGTTTGAGAGCAGATTTAGTTTTTTGTAAAATAATGAAAAAACTCAGCAGTCAGTCCCTGTTTTGTGTTGGTCTCTGACATCAAATCTTAATCAAAGTTTACAGTTGGAATATGATCAAATGTGATGAAGATCAAAGGGTGGGAATAGTTTGTGACTTAATGCAAATACATTTAGAGAGATGCAAATACAAAAGTTAAATGTGGTAAAAAGTGAATTCATTGTTGGCTTAAAAATGTTGAAATTGACCAAGAACTTAAAAAGATTTCAATTATTGGTAGACTTGGTCTACTCTGGTTTAGCCTCTGCAGTAGGAACTTTATTTATTTGCATGGGTCTTTGCATCTGTTTGCATCCGTTTCCAGTTGCAGAACACTGAGCTCTTTATTTAACTCTTTGGATTGTTCTGTTGGGGTAATTGATTATTTAAATCCCCTCCAAGAACCTTTTATATCTAAAACTTGGAAACGTTTTCTTCTAAATGTTCAGGTGACCATCTGGGAGGCGCTGACTAACAGCCGCCCGGGGCCGCAATCTCCGCTGTATGAGGAAGACTCTCAGCTGGAAAGGTGAGAAACTGTAGATGGACTCAACTGTTTGTATGAGATAGATGAAGTATTTATTATTTAATCATTAAAAATGTTCTTATTACCAAGATTTAAGCAGAGGTTCTGATATCTTTATAAATCCTTTGTCTTCAGTAGAAGTTTTGGCCTGAATTGTAATTTAATGAACAGATATTAAACAAGAGCTCAGTAATTAGCTTTATTCCCTCCTCTGGGAGCAGCTCCTCTCATTTGTCCTCTAATTAAATTAAATCAACGCTCTCCTTAAACGACTCTGAATACAGCCATCTAACAGACCTGTTTTTGTCTCAGGGCGATCCAGGAGTCCCTCTCCATCTCTCTGGCCAGCAGAGAAGGAGAAGAGACGGCCGACCCCGGCCTGCCGTCCTCGTTGTCCCCTCAAGACCCCGCCTCCACCCTGCCCCTCTCCTACAGTGCTGCCACCGATCCGAGGCTTTCAGGACACCTTGGCGTGGCGAACAGCTTCGACGAGCAGCTGCGGCTCGCCATGGAGCTGTCATGCAGGGAGCAGGAGGAGAACGACAGGTGGGGGCTGCTTGTTTGTTACCTGAGGCTAAAAAACCTCACTGACCAAATTAAGTTAAAATCTCTCTGTTAGGGATCTGTTTATCTTCATCATTATCTCTGAGGAGAGGAAAATCTGTGCAACAAAATATGTTTATTGCTGTTTAGAAACATAAGCTAAATTTAAAGAAATGCTTAAGCTGGTATTGGGTTTGAAAAATAATGAATACTAAGAGGGTCAGAATTCTTGCTCGTAATTGGATAAACCCTTCTCATCACACCGCATCTCCATTGCATGCTTTTACACTAAGTTGGGCTCAATGCCAACCAATGAGAATGAGCTCTGGACCAAAATTGTTCAGGTTTTCACCAAATATGCAGCAGGTATGACCGCCTCTTTTAATGAAGCAGCAGCACGTTGCACAGGAACATACTGGTATATGTCAGCATAAACACTAAGATTGAACAACTCAGAGCAGCAGCTCTGACTCCTCCAGTATTGGTAGCCCTTCCTATGACTCAGTACCCATGAAGTAGCACTTGGCCTTAAAAAGGTTGGTGACCCCTGCCCTAGGGGATAACTGCTGGAGGAAGAATGACAGAGCAGGATCAGAGGAGTATGTCTATTGTATAATTTCTGTGCCACCTACCTGAGCGTGCAGCGTACACCCTCACTCAAAACCTGTCTTCCCCACGCTCAACTCTGACAAGATGCGTTCAACAATGTATCTGTGTGCTTGACTTTTTCTCTGTGCTCACAACTTAACACTGTATTTAAATGAACCAGCCAGTCACACAGGGCTTTTTTTATCTGATAAAAGCAATCCTTGCAAATAATCAAATTAATGCACACTTACAGGGATTACAAAACCAAACGGCAGAATAAAATGTGATTGTGTTGCAAATGCAATTAATGGGCTCTATACACAACTTCACTACTCCCTGAACTGAAGGCAAGTTTTTTGTTTCCTGTATTTTTCTGTTGGATTAACTGATTCATCTAGGTGATGAATCAGTTGATTAATCAGTGATGAATTCATCTAGATTAATCGGTTCATCCAGTAGAAAAAAGAAGAGCTGCTCTCAGTTCAGGAAGTGGTGGAGATGTGCATACTGTAGAGGCTCTTATACCACCCCAGTTGGGATCAAACCTGAATGAAGCTATTAGACATCCTGTTTGACTTTGCAGCATAATCCTGGGAAAAACTAGTAAACCCTGATTTTTCTTTCTGCTCCAGGAAACGTAAGGAAGAAGAGGAGGAGCTGGAGAGGATCCTGCAGCTGTCTCTGACTGAGAAGTGATGCTGCCGCACAGCAGCTGCACACTGAAGAACAATCACCTTAATTTATTCAGTTTTATTATGGAATCTCTATACATTAATTTATTCCTTATATTCTATTTGTTTTTCTCACATGAAGGCTGCTAACAGAATGTAGGAAATGTTAAGAGTCTCTGGAAACAGTCACTCTGAATACAATACTGTACACTTTAAGTGAAGGAGACAAAAGGGAGCGTTTTCTTTTTTTTATTGAATATTTTTCACAGTCTTGCTGTTCTTTGAGTGATGATTGATCCTTAAGCTTATATGATCCACTAAACTAATGAAGACACTAAAACACTAAAACATAATTCAGTGTAAAAACAACAACTTTAAAATCTTTATGTTGGACTACTCATAAGTATGAAAAATAAAGAATGAAGATCATCCTGGATTATGGTCTCTGTGTTTTCAACTTTCATTAAAATATTTTACATGTTTGCTGTTTTATGTTTTTCTTTAAACATTGTACAAAATAATTAGACATTTTTACAATAATAAACACATTTTAAACCAAAACTGATATTTAAGCAGCTTTCTAAACTGAAAATCCTAGCCAGCAAATTCCTCATAATACCTTATATAATACTACACAATAGTATGCGGTCTTGGTGGTGCAAAGTGAAATTAAAAAGTACATATGTGGAAGCTCATTGGTAGAATTCCCTTATGACATAACTTTTGATGTTGCAGTAATGTCCCATTGCCTCTTGGTTTTTCTTCTCCCTTATCTGCAATTATTAACATTTTCAAATATCCTCCACTAATTTGTAAAATGTAAAACTCAGAGAATTAACCTTTCTGATAATAATGAAATAAATCACGTAACACGATTGTAGGACTTCAGATTGGACCTCAGGCCAAAACAACAAACAAAATAGTCTATATTTTGTTAAATCATCTTACCTGTTCAAAGAAACATGAAAGAAATTACAATCATCTTACCTTCCTAAGATAACAAAAACAGGAGGAAAACTTTACTCAAAGAAAATGGCAGTCCAATCCTACTGTGCAATCAGTGTTACAGCTTCAAATCGCTCCACAATTATTTCAGAAATCTTATAATTTAAATATTTGTTAACAAAGCTGAGTGTGAGATAAATACAAGCTTAATCACCTTTTCTATTGCTCTGTAAGGTTCTTCTCATCACAGAGTTCCTGGGTAGGTTGGTGGTATAGTAGTTAGCATAGCTGCCTTCCGAGCAGTTGACCAGGGTTTGATTCCCGGCCCTTACGACAGATAGAAGGCAACGATTCACACTACTTTATCATCTGGAGGGGGGAAACATTTAATTACAAATCCGAATCCATGCAGCTCTCTTAAACACTTCATACGTTCAGCGCTACATCGTCACATCTCAGTTTTTCCTCCTGAAACTCTCATTTAATCTCAGGCTGTTTTATAGTTTCAACATCGCATTATGTAACTGCACATGCACAGGAATATCATGTTGAAAGCTTCCTGGAATTCACTTGTGCTGGTCAGAGCCAAACGTTGCTTCGATCCTAAAAGAATGTTTATACAGACATTCTATGTTTATGCCAAAACCTCTTAATATATCTAATTGCATAAGAATCAGCCATTAGAGACCTTATTATTGCTAAGACTCATACTTGACCTTCAGCATGTACTGTTTTGTTGCTAAGTAAGTATAGTGCCATGAAGGATGCTATATAAGGCAATAAAGCCTTTTCAGCACATAAACCTAAAAAATTTACATTTCCTTAAACACTAAAGTGAGACTTTACAGAAAACCTTTTTTCTTTACATTTTTTTTTTTGCTATTTCAGACTTTGCTCATCAACTTATCAGTTTTATAGTAATTTCTACATAAGTGTTTCTTAAACTGTTTACACAGAAATCTGCAGCTTTTACTGTTTTTTGCATGTAAAAGAGTGCATGGGTCGTACATCGCACAGTGAGGGAATATATACTGTAATACATGCTTTTAAAATAAACATCTGAGTTTTACAAGACCTTTCTGATCGGAACAAAGAGTGCAACTCATTTGAAATCATAATTTCTATCAAAAAGCTTAAGAAATAAATGTTTTTCGGTATTTGCTCCTTTCTCCCCCTACTCTAACTCTCCTAGATGTTCTCATCTGTGGATTTCTGGTGTAACTTAGGAGACATCTTTAATGATCACTTTATTTCCTAATTTAAAAGAAAATCTAATTACAGTTTTCACTTTTTAACTATATTATATAATCCTATGTCACAAAAAACAACAAAAATGCTATGAAATAAATTAACCCAAACTTGTATTTGTGTGATTGCTTGGCTGTTTTTTAATCTCTGAATAGTGTTTGGCCCTCTCACACGTTATCAACTGAGAACTGATTTATTCATAATTTAAACTCTACACATTTTTACTATCACCACAGGTATTTGCAGGAAAACATGAAATATTTGATCCACCTTAATTTTGAAACTCGATCAGGATGCGAAAGTTTAACTTTATTTAAACCACTGGATCTTTCTGCCGTTTCTGTCACAGGTTTCATTCTTGTAGGTGGATTCGTCGTCTCTTCCAGTCTCCGTGTAGAGGTTTTCTTTTCTCTTTTTTAAAATTGACTGAAGCTCATCATTCATCTGAGCTGATTAGAACCCCCCCAAAAAAGAAAAATGTTATTTGTTAAGATCAGATTTATCTGCAAAAACATTGATGCACAATGAAGGTACAGTTAACTGCACTCTAGTTAAGATGTGGGGGGAACCAAAATGAAAATTCAACCCTTTATTTATTTTTATTTTCATTTTCAGAGGAGTACAGATTATCTGATGAACTCCACAAACAGAAAACAGTTACTGTTACCAAGTTTGGATCAGGCAGAGAATGAAATCTGCTTTTCTATGTATACAATCACTCAGTTCATTGATCCTCGCTTAGGAGTTGATAACATCTGTTTACTCAGCTTTGCTAAAGGATTTTGAGCTTGGGATGGAGAAAACCATGACAGAAAACCATTTTTGCGACGGAAAACCAAACTACCATCTTCTTTAATAATAAATAATAATAATACATTTTATTTGAAAGCGCCTTATCACAACACCCAAGGACACTGTACAGGCAGATAAAAACATTAACTTTAAAGTTTTATCAGTGAGTCCACCAAATTTCGACCTACACAGGGGGCATGATGCTCCCACATTTCCCCCTCTGTTTCTCACCAAACCAGCTAGAAGTGTTTTTTAACCTTTTGCCATAAACATTTTGTCTGTTTGTCCCCCCACAAATTTACTCAGGGTGCAGACAATGTTTGACTCTGTATTTACCTTTCTTTGACATTTGATTAACTGGCGGAGAATCATCTGGGTACACATACAATTCCTCCTCTTCCTTGGGTGTAGGAGGAAGAAGCTTGTCTTTGGTCTGGCCACGGAGCATGGGTGCCACCTGGGCTTTGGGGACTACAGGTGGAGGGATGCTCATACACTTTGGGGGAGGGGATACATCTGTCCAAAAGAACAAAAACTGTTAATATCTGAAGCTGTGAACTTAGCCTTTTTTATGAGCAAAGCTCAGCCTCACCGATCCGAACGTCGTAGGGCTGAGATGCAACATAGGGACGGAGACGGTACTCTGTCTTCTCCAGGAAGTACTTTAATACGTCTTCCAGTGAGGAGACCGTCATCTGCAGAGTAGAGGGTGTATTATGAAATGTATAATTTAATGTGTGGAACCAGCATTAAATTATCTTTTAAATTGTCCAAATAGATTTTTTACAATATTTATACTTGAGGCAAATAGAGACGTAGATTATCTGCAATATCGTAACTTAAACATGTGTAAAATAACTAAAACCTGGCAAGGAGAGAACTTTGCTTCAAACTAGATGTCTCCCAGTGAGATACTACTAAAAAGCTTTTTACAGACATTTTGCCATTCAGAAAACCTAGAAAACAATCAATCCAGATGGAAATATTTTGAATGAAACTTTTACACCATGCAGATATACATAATATTTATTGTATTAATGATGATAATGATCTTTAAGTATTAATGAACTAAATGGAAAAGCATTTAACATAAATTTCCATTCTAAAATATGAATAAATCTGAGAGCCTCCATCATGTTTTAATGAGTTACCCTGAACCTCTGATTGAAGAAAATATTGACATAGCTTTTTGAAACACAGCTGGCAACTTTGAGGTCAGTTAAAGTTTAGCTCTTTGTCTAACAAAAGCCCTGAGGTTTTTTTCTTTTCTTTTTTTTTTTTTAAGCAGACATGAGTTATTTACAGTTTCCTGCAGTTGCTCAAATTTAGAGTTGAAACTCTTAAAAATTATGCTGGCTGAACTTTGATAAGGAATTGGTGTTCTGTCCAACATTAACTATTGCTAGTCGAAAACATCTAAGATGGACTGAAATACATCTGGCCTTACTCAAAAAGCTTTAGCTGCATTTTAGATTCATAAACAGAGGAGGATTCAACCTGCCTTTTATAGACGTAATAAACCAGCAGCTTGGGATGCATCTAAGGAGTCTGACAATCACAAGAAATGACTCACCTTAATTTCATTTTATACAATTCAACTTAATATATATATATATATATATATATATTTTTTATCTGAGCAGATTAATTTAACCATATATTAGACAGTGTCTAATTTATTTCAAACCATAATCATTTGCCAGAAAGGAACAATATCTAGCTGTTAAAATTTGACTTTTGTAGTTTTCAAAATCTCCTTGTTTATTAAGTTCTAACAGGTCTTGCCATACTTTGTTCCACTGTGCTCTTCTTGGTTAGATAAGTGTTTTTCATATTGTTTGATTCTTTTGTGTTTAGTTTGCTATTAGTGTTCTTTCATGTTTCCTTTTCAGAGTTGTTTTTTTCTTAATAATTAGTCTTCCTCCTTCAGCTGCTCTGCCTTTACTCTGCCTCAGCTGATTACTTCTAATAAGCTCTTTTGGTTTACTGATCACCTTCCATCCCAGTCTTAGTTTAGTAGCTCACAGTTTATAATTGTTTTCTGTTAGATTCTTCCATTTGCCCGATTTGTTTCTTGTCCTTTAAATTATTTTATTCCAGTGCTCAGCTTCACCTCAGTTTGTCTCTTCATTTAAATGGTTTATAAAACTACAACACGAAAGGAACATCAGGAGCTTCGAAATAATTTAGTTATGTTCCAAATATCTTAGGATGTAACTCTTCAGGAAGATTTGAACTTGTAATTTGAATCATGGTGTGGGACTTATATTTTTTAGAAATTAAACTAATAAAAGTTAGTTTTTTTTTTTTTAACAATTGTTTGCAAATATATTGCAAGTTTTCTTCTGATAGCCTTTTTATGTAATAAGGCTGCATTTGTGTACACTGCTGCCTTAAAGCAGGTCTTTAGGCTTCATTCCCTGCCTGGAGTATTTCTGCATGATGTTTGTACATTCTCCCCGTAACTGTGTGTTTTCTCTGGATACTCCAGGTTCCTTGCTAGCTCTGTCCTTGGTAGTGAGTATGTGTAAGCATGGTAGTTTCTCCTGTGTTCCTCTGTGATGGATTGGTGACCTGTACAGGGTGCATCCCACCTCTCACCCTATGACAACTGGAGACAGACACTATATTCAAAGACTAACCCTTTGCTTAAGCTTTGGATTTTCTGAAAAGCTGTTCCTTGCATTTGTTACTTCAAGGCTGGACTATTTTAATTCTTCACTGTTAGGAAGTCCACAAAATACAGTTAAAAACCTGATCTATAGCACCACAGCCACAGGTCTGATAGAAATCAAAGAGATCATTTGTCTCTTATTTGAACTTTCCTTCACTGAATTCCGAACAGGATTTAAAATTCTCCTCTCTCATATAGCATAATGCTGCTAATATTAAACCTCTATCATACATCAGAGATCAGATTGTTTCTTAAGTTCCTGAAAGACGTCTTCACTGCCAGACAGCAGATTTAGTGTTCCTACAGTATAGGTTCTATAAATAAAATGGGTGGTAGAACCTTTAGCTTCCAGGCTCCTCTCTGGTGGAACCAACTTCCAGCATGTCTGCTTTCCTTTTCGGCAAAGCTTGCAGTTAGTGGCTCAGGTTATCCTGAGCTTCGTCTGTATGTATACTTCCATAGGCCTACCACACATGACTGGAATGTGAATACCTGCTGATGCTTTCATCGAAGGATCCTAGATGAACCTTGGTGGTGGAGATAATGTATTAATCTCTGTTTTTATGGATGTTTTTAAACAAAACCGCTTAGGGCTTGGGTGTTCTTACTACTCTCAAATCTTTAAACCTGCAATTTAATTTACTTTAGCCCAGTCAGATGGTTCTCCCTGTTTCCTTTAGCCTCCCACACATCTCTCCACATTAACCATCTCTTTTAACCTTCATTACCCCACCGTGAACTCATTATCCTCTGCTTTTCTTTTTTTCTCTTCATAGTAGCTCCGTGTAGCGGCTAGCCTATGTTCTTTTATACAGATGATACACTTGGTCCTGTCTTACAGGTGTTAACCCTGTCGCTTTTATAATCACAGCCATTAGCTGAGCTTTTATTAAAACTAACTCGATATAGACTTTCATCTTTTAGACTTGACTACTAGCTTTGTGCTGCTTAGCTGTATTTTTCTCCTAGACGAGACCTTTCTCTCATAGAGAAATCACTTTTAGATCAGTTCATCTACAGTATGTCCCTCTGTGTGTATGCTTTGCTTAAACCTGGCATGCTCAAAGTTGATCCTCTAGGGCCGCTGTCCTGCAGGTTTTAGAGGCTTCTCTGCTCCAGCACAGCTGGTTATCATTGATAGATGATTAACAGGCTTTTGCTGAACTGCAACCATCAGAATCAGCTGAGCTAAAGCAAGGAAACCTGTAAAACCTGCAGGACAGTGGCCCTCGAGGATCGACTTTGTGCATGCCTGGCTTAAACCATTAGTAGACCTCTGATGCCTGTTCACCCTGAGCCTGGTTTTGATGTCCGTTTCTCTCCCCACTGTCGCTACATGCATGCTCTGTATGAGAGATTGCTGCAATGCCAGGAACTGTCCATTGTCTCCATGTTTTCATCCATGGGCGAATTCTGCAAAGCCAGTGACTCAATGCAATCAGCTGGATTTTCCCATAACATTTTTAACTAATCTGTCTGTATGATTTGATTTTATCGACATCTTAAATTGCCTTCAGATTAGCAGCAATGTACTGTACATTGCTGCTATACAGATAAAGCGATTTAGACGTACCCAGCTGTGTACTGTGAGCACAGCTGTTCAACTTTGAGTACAAGTCTTTTAGACTTACTGGATTATCCAGTTCAATCACATAGCCAGAGCTGGTTGAGGTCACCCTGTAGTTCTTGAAGACGGGCCCACTGCAACAGAATAGACATAAAGATAACACCATCACTATGAATTTATATACTGAAATAAGTTCTAACTGATAGATATTGATTTTTTTCTGTTTGATATTTTCTATCCTACACTTTTGCTTCTGCTGAACCTAAAAAATGGCATCTAAAGAATAAATTTTTTTCTAACTTTTGAGGGAGAATCAGAGCTGCTGGATAAAATTAGTTTGAACAAACCGTGGCGTAGGCTGTCTGAGCGTCAGGGCGTAGTTTTTGGGCATGGTGGATGGGCGGAGAATGATGTTCCCATTCTCTGGGTTGGAATCAAGCATCTTCTCAGCTTCCTGTCGAGTCACGTCGAAGAAACAGCTGCAGGGTTCAAAGAAAGCCAATATACATTTTTACTTTTCAGTCTAGGAAGAATAATACTTTGTTTTTTTTTTTCAATAAAACATGCAGAAAAATGAAATCTAACAATGTGAATACTGTCAGGCATAATACTTCAGTATTATTATTTCTTAATCTTCTTGAAAAGGAACCAAAACCCTTTTTCTTTCTATTGAATCCTAATTTTACTGGAAGAAAGTCTATGAGAAAATAGAAAACTGCTTCATAGATAGTTAAACTAGATGTTATGCAGTTTAATTGTTTATTTTTTACATTGTGTTTGGATACGCATTCAAACATGATGTATTGGATGATAGGTTGGAAGCTCCTTTGATTTAACTCACGCAGGGGTTTTGGGTTCTGAAGTGCTTTTGGCCTGCATGAAGCTGGGGCGAGGTGGAAGAGCAGGGCGATCCAGCTTGGTTGCTCTTTTCTTTTCCTCAGAAAGCGTCTCCTCTAGCCTTATTTTCTGACCAGGAAGCATCTGAAGGTTTTTGGGAATCTCTTTCTGTAATGGGATATGGATTAGATATGACAAAGCTGTCAGCCTCAGACAATCAACCTACTTTAAAAAATAGTGCAGTATATTAAATACAGCAAACCATTTAAGTTTTAACTTAGTCTGTTTATTCTGGTACAAATTTTTGAAGGGAAAGTTTCTTTGATAGAGCTTTAACAATGAACCAGGAAATGTTTGTTTTCTTCACAACTTTGTTTGACTTAAAAATTAGTTATTGATTGATGAATAATGATCTTACAGTGATCTTAAGAAGAAACTTCTGCAATATGTTGTTAGAAACCATTTTTATACAGAGTTTAACTTTTTGATACGGATTAGCTTTGGAAGCCAAAAAACTAGGGGCCTTGTGCTAAGAGCTATTGAGAGGTCAAGCTTAAAAAAATGCCAGTGATATTCATGGGTTTGTTGCAACTGATAAGAGGTGCAAAAGTGATGTAAATTATATAGTGTTTTTTGTGCAACTGACCACCACCATGGAGAGTTTGCAATGGTGCAATTAAATGTGCATGGTGTTGGAAGGAGTCTTTCCATAGAAAATATGTAAGGGTTCTATTTGTGACGGGCTCCAACTCAGCCTTTTGTTCATTTGTCAGACACAATCCTTGGTGGAACCAGTAAGTAGATCAGCTTTGCACTCGCCGTAAAGTTTCCACTTGTTTTTATACATGAAAACCTTCAGTAGATCAAGCCCATTGTATCTTAAATCCAGAATTATTTTACAAAGCAGCCCCAAAAGAGTTCTGCATTTTTTACATAAGCAGAGAAACTGACGAAGTGATATTAACTGTACTGTAGCTCTGGCAGAAGGACAATGGCAAAATAACCCACCTTTAAGCAAATTTCTACCTGTCTTGTTCTTTACATGACAATGTTAGTACATAGAAACCATTTTAGCAGATTATTATTGAACTGGCAGTTTTTAAAGCACACTAATAGTCTACTATATTATTTATTTGTACTGCATTTAATCAGGAACAAACCGAAATTTTAGTCATTTTCATTGCTTATATTCTGCATTGAAGTTGTTTTAAAGTCAATGGTTGGCTGGCTGCTAAGAAGTGCTGCTTCAATTGCAATTTATCTAAAGTCAAAAAGGGGACAAATCCCTTTGGGAAAAGTTTTTCCAACTAGTGTTAATCAAGATATAAGTTTTTAAGCTCATATATCTCATGTTTTTTAGATGTAGACTTACATTAACCACTGTCAAAATGTAGCCTCTCCATTCCTCTCCTGTGTCAGCATTGTCCATCTGCATGATCAGAGAAAATAATAATTAATAATTAATAATATAATTAAAAGACAACACACGCACAATAACATATATGATTGGTTATGTTGGCACTCTATTAGTCCTAAACCTAACCCTAATCCAATAAGAAATGGCCTAATGGGGACCAGTTAACTCATCCTCACAACTACCTGTAAATCCCGTCAATGTAGCCTAATGCTGGAAAATTGACTGTACACTGTCCTCACAAGGTAACTAATTCTAATGCTCACCCCCACACACACACATTTCCCACAAATGTTACAATTTATTGGAACCCCTGACAAAAAAGTGTTTTTAGGAGCTTCTTAGTAGTTAGCTTAGTACCTCATAATCCAAGCTGTTTAACATTACACAAAGTTTTTTGTTTGTTTGTTTGTTTATTACCACTGAATATAAGAATAGATGAGAAACTCGAAAGCTCACGACTGAAGAATGACTCCAGGTCCTTCAAAAACACTCTTTAGATGCCAGCTGCTGGCCAATGGGTTGTTTGGTAGACACAGCAGTAAAAAGACAAATTTCTTTCCTGCCATTACGAATGGTAATGTGTGGAGTTTACTAAACAGTCAATGGAGTAACTATCTGTAGGCAGAGACAGCTATTGCTTAAGGGCCCCCGACCTCTTAGGGGCCCCAACACTGACATCTGGTAGGCCCTCTACGCAATTGTAGACTATGACGTCTCTTTGCACATATAATGGTGCGAAAAATTCTTCTTAAATCTACCTGATACTGAAGCTATTTATATTATTACTGAAGTATTTATACTGTACTGCAGCACATGCCAGATTTCAATAGGATGGTTGTTTAAACATGACACCAATAGCAAAACAGACAGTGGTACTTTTAATTACTATGTTAATAACTGTGTATAGTTAATTAGACGGTTGGTTAAAAAAATACACTCCTATAATATGTTTCAAACCGCAATAAAGATCTTAAAAGAACAATGTATTTAAGTATTTTAATTATTTGATGGGTTGGTGGGTTGTGTGTAAAACAGAGCAAATATATATGGAAAATCACCTCATGACCCGTGTTAAATATGGTGAAGTGTTAGATTTGCATCATGAATTCATTTAAATGATATTCAAATAAGAACCAATGAAGTCTAAAGTATGGGTCATCAATTGGTCACCTACAGATATGATTATTGATACACTATGGCCAGCTCTATAAAGTTATACATATCTTTAATGCCTGCTTCATCCCCCAGTCCTAAATCCTATTTAAAACTTAAACTCCCAGAGTAACTGTGCAAAATGTTTTCAAATAATTCAATTTGTTTGTGCTTTTTTTTGTGATGTATGTGGAGTCAGTTTAAGATTTTACAAACCTTTAACTGCACCTCCTCTTTGGGCAAACTTAAGGTGATGATGGTAGGTGTTGTCTTTTTGTAAGGACTCTCCAGCTCCAAGGACTTCAGCAGCTCCAGGTCTAGCCTTTCCGTGTACTGAAAAAAAAAAAAACAGGCAGCCAGTCACATGGCGGTTTAATTAGTTAGATATAAGCAAACATGTAGGCTACTTCCTTATTGCCCTTCTACTGGATTTATTTTATTTCTGATTTTGGCAACATGGTTCCAGAAAACATAATTCAATAAATGTGATTACATAACTTTCTAAAATATAGACTTTGGCTGTGCACTTACCGTTTCTTGTGTGTCATTGTTATAAAGGAACAGCGTTGATCCTCTGAGCTCCCCATAAAAACTCTTGAAGTCCTGGAAGTTATGAAAGTTATTCTAGATTACTCATTCAGATTAAACTGAACCTTTGCACAGAAATGAAAATAAAGAAACTCCTACTGGTGTATCTCATAGACTAAAGTTATTTTCTTTCCTTTACTAGCTGATGTTTCAATTCATTTATCTGAAAATTTAGCAACACTTTTAACCAAGCATTCAGAAAGATTGCTTTTATGACTAAATATTTATCATATTTTTCAGTTTTTGTAAAACATTCTAAAATACAAAGAAGAATATATACAATAGTTTGGCTTCTGTATCGAGGTAACTCTTGAAGTTTTTAATTCATCAGGTAGAAAAATCCATAATGAACAATACCTTCCCTAATAAAAACTTTCTGTGTTTGGAAATCTCCACTTTTGGCATAATTTAAGCTTTAACAATTCTACCTTCTCTTTAGATCCTTTCTTAAGCAGGTTTCCAGCGTAGTAGAGAGGTAAAGCTGTGATCGTCTCCCTTCTCTTGATGAGGTTCTTTACCGGCCCCATTTCCACAGAATCTGCTAGTTTCCTCCTCTCCTTGTCTGGTTGGTCTCAGCTCTCAGGCTGTCCAGCTGAGTCCTGGGAAAACTGAGCTTTTCTGGTTTTGTGGGAGCTTAACTGCCCTGATTTACTGCCTGAGATTATTACCTCTCCATAAACCTGCTGCGATCACTTTTTTTCATGCAATCTCAGAGCTGCTCTGGCTTTGAATAAGGAAGCCATGTGCTGATTTACAAAGAAGGAAGTAGTTAGTGCAAGAAAAAAAAGAAAAATTCCCAAATATGATCAACCTTTGTACTTTGTCCCAAGCACAAGTCAGGATGATATGCACAACCTACTCAGGTGCAATAAAGTGTGTTGGTGTTTGTTCAAATAAATCCATGCACTTCTTTCAAGTTGACTCCCTGAAAATGCAGGATGGATTAATTATTATCATAAAAACAAGGTGTGAGTAGATATACGGCTGTTGCAGTTTAGATAAATGAAAACCTAGTACTTTATTGCTGTCCAACAAAATACCTTAAAACTAAAAAGGAGAAAATATGATACACTACAAAATAAGGCTCCAATTTCTCTTTGTGAAAATTCCTGAACTATTGATACTATTGATTTACTTTAATCTCTACTTCAAACAGCTGCTGCTATAAATTTCAGATAAAAAGTAGCCTGCAAATAAATGCCTTTCATTATTGACAGTAATATACTGGCACCTGGGCTGAGGGTATTTTACTGTTATTTTACAGTACTCTTTTTATAAGATTTACAATATGTTACTGTTAAAACCTCTGTATTTATTACTGTAGATTTTAAGGTGTTACTAGCATTGGGGGTTTCCAGTAACCTAATTTGTAAATCTGCTTTATCCAGAACTGCTAAAGTGTTAGAATTTTGTTTAACCTTGTTCAGTTTTTGTAAGCATATGGAAGTGTAATTAGAGAGTAACCAGTTTCAGTTTTAACTTTTCACTTTACTGTGTAGCATCATTTAAATTTGTACTAATCCACACAAAAAAAATCCAATAATGGGTAATTTATTCAATTAATGATATAGAGCTTAGAGTTCTGAGGTTCTGAGTTCGAGCCCCACTCCCACAGACTTCCACACTGGGTCTCTGAGCAAAGACTCTTAACCCCACACTGCTCCCCAGGCGCCTCACGGTGGCAGCCCCCTCCTCCCCCAGGGGAAGGGTTAAATGCAGAGGTAAATTTCTCCAATGTGAGATCAGTTAAGTTTAATTACTTTAAATCACACAAACAGACTTTTATTACTCAGGCCATAAAGTTTGTAATCTTCTGCAGCTTACATACATCTTTTTATTACTGTTGGTATCCAAAGTAAATTAACTCCTAATGTATATCTTGGAACTCACAAATTTTCAACCTGCTGCTTATTACAAATATAAAAATATACTGGGAGACCAATTTCAAATCTTAAGCACCATCCATGGTTTTAGTCAAGATCTGAAACGGTTGATCTTTTTATAAAATGTGTTCTAGAGGAAAATAAAACTGAAGGCTGCCTTGCCTTGCTTAGATCAGGTCCAGGAAAAAAAGCGCATAAGAAAGTCTCAAAAAGCCTAAGGGATCCAAATGATTCATATCTGATCAGCAGCTCTGAAAGGCCCAGAGACCATTCAGCACAGTTATATAAAATATAGTATAATATAATAATTTTTCCCAATGTTAGCAGAAGAATTTGAATGACCTGGCAGAGAATGTTATAGATAATATTCTAAAATACTGACAATAAAAGCCTGAAAAGCACTTTTATTTTATTATTTTATTTATTTATTTTTTTTTTTTTTAGAGAAAACCATTCATTCTGGAACTGTTTCTAACATGGAGGTTGATTCGTTTGGACTACAAAATTAAAATTTCAGTCCGTTGTTTACTTTCTCTTTGGGATCAATAAAGAATTATTGAATTAAATTAAATGTGCTGACCTACAAATGACTGTATATCTTAGTCTATAGTTTGAGCTACTGTTTGAAGTGACTGTCGAATAAAAGTAAAACAAGTATGGAGCTTTGAGGAATCCCACAATAAAATCTTACTCTTCCAAACTATGAGAAACCGTTTTTTTAAGGTGTTTGTTGAATGTTTTATAAAATGGAGGCGTTTCAGGAGGACCTTAGACTTATCTTCTCTTTAAACTCAATAGCATTTAGACTAGTAGGCTAAATAAGGTAAAACAAGCTTATTTTTTAAGTTAACAGACGGTTCTGTTACAATATGATAGAAAGACATAAAGTAATAAGTCCTGTTTGAAACAAGCAGTTGATTAAAAAACACTCCAAGCTTATGTTGTATCGCAGCCTAAGGGGTTATTGTTATGGTTCTTCCCATTTGTTGTGACTCTGAGTTTTCAGTTTTCTGTTATCAGTTGTTTTGTTTGTTGATTTATTTTCCGTCATATTCAAGCATTCTTTAGTTACTCTCTGTTGCCCCCTTGTGCTTGTTTTCTTTCCCCTTGGATTCCCTCTTGCCAGTTCCACCCACACCTGCTCCTTATTCAGCTCATTAGTCCATCCTTTGTTCTGTTCTCCTTAAATACTCCACCTCTGCAGTCACTCAGTTCTGGTTCCTTGTCATTGCTGTACTTGTCTACTCAGCTCGTCTCTCCGTGGCTCCTCAGGCTCGTTTTCCCCTGATGGTTTATTGGTTTGTTTAACATTTTTGTTGGATTTGTACCTCTGTTTCCTGTGTTCTTCCATTAAATCTGTCAGAAGTAATCTCTGCTTCACTCATCTCTGTATCTGGGTCCTCAAGCAACCTCACTACCCATTGTTGACAGTTATGACATAAAAAAAATGTTTTTATCTGAACATCTGGATGAAACCAAACTAAGTTCCTTTTTGGGGGAAATTACATATTTAATTAACTTATTAATGAAGAAAGAGTAGTTTTTGTTCTGGAGTTGCTTTCCACAAAAAAGTTATTATTTTTTTAAAATCTAAAATGTCTTCTGTGTTCTTTTACATTTAGATATGCTAATGATTATTTTCACACTAAAGTAGGTATCAAATGTTCAAGTGAGACGCTGCTGGTGATAAACTGTTATCATTAATGATCCAATCATGTGCACATTTCTGAGTTTGGATTGTTTGTCTAATTCAATTTATCTTTGGACAATGCTGAGTGACCCTATATGAGCTAGATGATTCATACATACTTTATGGGTTTTAGACATATGAAGACTAGTTAATTGAGCTACAATGATCACAAATGTGCCTATGTTGGCTTTTTTCTTCTATAAATAAAGACAGTAAAAACTTTTTACTGTGGTTTTAAACACCTGAGGTTGGATACAAATGATTTTAGAACCTGGTAAGGCCAGTTCATTTCTCCATTGAACACGGTGTAGGTTGTTATATAAAGACTTAGACTTAGGCTTAGATTCTATTTGTCATTTTGTTTACACAAGTGTAAAAAAAATAAAAGAAATTTGTTTGGAAATACTGAAATACTTGAGTAAAAATGTTAATTGTTTGGGGTCCCTAAAAAATACTTTTTTAAAATACTGAACTAATCATCACAGAGGCATTAACAAATTAACTAGACAGGGATCTATTTGGTCCCATTCCATAGATCAATTAAATATACATTGAAGTGTTTCCTGATTTTCAATGAGGAGGGATCAAGTGTCCTCCATAGCTTTGAAGCACAACTTTGACTTTATAAACACAGTGAGCAAGAGATAGGAACCATAGGGCATTATATAGCCTAATGTCTATGTGAACAATGCCCCCTAGTGTCTCAGCACCAACATAAAATAAAAAAATGAATAATTTGCTTATGGGTGTATTTGCATCATCCCCTTAATGGTGCATTTGGTCTTAATAAAAAAGGCATTTAAATGAATTTCACGAGTAAAGTCTGACACTTTTCACATTCAGGATGCCTATAAAACAGCACTAAAAAGACTTTACCTAAAGTAGAACATAGACGTTTAGGGTCCAGCCGGAATAAAAAATGAGATTCTTACACTTTAAGTTCTGAATAATGAATCAACATCTAATCTTGAATAATCAATGGCTTCACGTATTATAGACAGAGATTTTCATTGTCAGACTGCAGGTTTATTGGTGATTCCCAGAGTTTCAAATTGGAGCAGTTCTGACTTTGGACTGTTAACTTTGAAACTATTATATTTAGAAAAAAAATTGAGTTGCTTAAGTCATACTGAGAGAATAAAGTTACCGGGGTATTAAATAGTTAATAATAGGTTTGTTTCTTTGTGCCTCACAGCTATGAGATAAATATAAATATAGATGAAATATTGAACATGAGGGAAATACCTTGTTTTTCAGGCTGTAAGCTGATGTTAAACCGCCATATACACTGAAACAAAGGGGCTCCTATGATCCTGGTAACTGGCTGTCAATAAGCCCCTGTTCCCAACACAGAGACCTCTTTTGATCAGTGGTTCTCTCTACATAAAGGAGAAAAATGTCTCTGCTTGGAAGGGATGAAATTCTTATAGTAAAAGTTAAGCATGGTCTGCTTTCAAACGAGCACAACAGATAGCCGCAGACCTGGCTATCTGCATCTTTCTCTCTCTGAATTTTGCAGTAAGAAGAAAAATTAAGAGCATGACAGTCATAGAGTCACAAGCCAGCTAGAAACCTCTACAGCAGAACACAGCAGGCTCTCCCAGCACTGACCTAAACTTTTCCTGACCACTGGGTATCCCTCATCTTCATCAGAACTGTGAAAACTACGGTAAAGCCTGGTAACTAATAACTGATCTCTTATTTGAGAAATTTACCTCTGCATTTACCCATTCTCTCAGGGAGCAGTGGGCCGCCATTGTGTGGCGCACAGGCAGCAGTGTGGGGGGTTAAAGGTTTTGCACAGAGACCCAGAGTGGAGGCTGTGGGGATCAAAGCAGGTTATTGCAACCTTCTCAGAGCACAAGCGCACTGCTCGAACCAATAGGCCCACATTCCTCTTAAAGCAATCAAAGTTGTTTCCTGCTTAACTATTTTGTTTGATTTGTCTGATTGTGTTTGAGTTCTTACTATACTTTAAAAACTGAACTAAAAAGTTGATAGGTGAGCTAAGAGCTTCAGCAAAGAGCTTTTTAACCAGGTGTTAATATATTTTACATTTTATTTGTAAAGTAATGACAAACTTTATTTCATAAAAGTTTTAAACGCTAAAATTATCTTAACCTTTTTATTTTTTCTGATCTGCTCATTACACTTTAAGTCACTGAGCTTCGGTTTGAGGTTCCCAGATATTGTCAAAGGTTCCCCTTAAAATTATTCCTTTAAGAATAATCTGAAGATTAAGAATCAATTATCTAAACAGTAATTGATTTCTGCATAGACAGATATTTCTTTAAATGATCATTTTACCAAACTGGTTCCACTTATCCCAGACTGGGGTCAAGGGTACAGCAGACTCAACAGTGACTCCCAGACTTCCCTCTCCCCAGACACCTCCTCCAGCTCCTCTTGGAGAAGCTGAGACATTCCAGGGTCAGCTGATTTTTATGGTCCCTCTATTGTGTCCTGGGCTGGGCCTCATCCCAGTGGGACATACCTTCTGAGAAGACATCCAGGGGGCATCAAACACAGATGTCAGAGCCATCTCAGCTGACTCCTCCTGGTTTCGAGGAGAAGCAGCTCTTCCAGATGACCAAACCCTATAAGATGAGCTGCTGCAACCCTGCCGAGGAAGCTTATTTCAGTCGTTTATATCCAGGACCTTTTTCTTTAAGGAAAATCCAGATTTCATGACAACTAGTGAGGGTAGGAGAGTAAACCAACTGGTAAGTCGAGAGTTTTGCCTTTTGGCTCAGCTCTGTCTTCAAAACAACAGTTGCAACAATCTGTCAATCTCCTACTCTATTTTCTCCATTTACTCATTAACATGACCTCAACATACTTAAACTTCGCCTCTTTATGGCAGGAACTCTCCTATGACCTGAAAAGCCACCTACCATAGACTTCGAGGAGCTGATATTCATCAGGGTTGGAGCTGGATGGGAGGACATCCTTAGCCATGGTCATCATTAGCTTATCATTGGCCACCCCAACCATGTGATCCCACGTGGGCATAACTTACAAGCAGTAAACTAATTTAACATTTTTATTGTTTGTATATTAACAATAAATGACAGCAAAACTAGAGTGGTTAAAATATTTAATGCTCTTTTCAGAACTAGTTTTTGTGTTTTATGGAGTAGAAGAGAAATTGAAGTGTCTCTGCAAGTCATTTAGGAGTCTTCTATGTAATTAAAAATAAAAACAACTAAATTCATTTAATGTATTTGTTAGTATATGTGAATATCAATATTTACACAATATTATTATAATAGACGTAATACTATAGTAGACATAAACAACAGATAAGATGTTCCCTCCAGAACTTGAATCTGAAAGAACATTCTTAAATAAATCTTAAATTTAGACATCTTGGACGTGTAAATATATACATTTATTTATTAGCAGGCTTTTAGGAAGATCTGGTTTGTCTATTTTCCCCTTGGAAATTAAGGATGTTCTGCTCATTCATTTTTCCATTGGTAAAGTGTGAATTGCCCCCCCATTGGTGCCGTATAGATATTTTCTAGCTACGCCACTGTGTTCTGACTGATTTGCACTCGGTTACATGCCGCTCCACTGTAGACTGCTGGTCTTGTTCTAAATTTTTCTAAATAAACTTTAGTTCTCAAACATAAAACCCATACTAAACTGTGATATTAAAGCATTATTTTATTGGTAATGGTTTTCGCCCATTTTCATTTGTCTCCTTTTCCCTTATTAGTTTTGTTAAAAAAAAAATAAGGCTAAAATATGTTTAACCTGAAGTTGAATGATAATTTTTAGTAAATTATTTTATTTAAAATGACTGTTTCTATAAATTTACTGCATATGTGTGCAGAGTTAACTTTTTTAGCAAGGTTGAGCTTGAGTCCGTCTTTCATCTATTGTTCTAACCCACAGCCACTTGGGTCTGTGTTCACAGGGAAACATATAACTAACCAAAAGTTATTTGATTAAATATTAATTAAAACAAATGTGTACAAGTGCACAACACCTCTTACTGTAAATCCAAACATTATACATGCATTGTAAAAAAGGACACAATAAGTCTGGATTTCTTTAAGTTACAGAACTCTAGATTGTTTGCAGGTTTATGCCTTCACACTGGACTGATCTGATGTTTACTTTCACCCTGCTGGTCCCTTCAGTGGCTCCTTTTTTTCCAAGATTCCTCATCCACGAGGGCAGGCGAGGGAATTGGACACAAAGGACAAAAAGCAGCCAATGTTGTCCATCACAAAGCTCTAATGATGCTGATTTTCAGCCACTGACTGAGCAGAAAACGACCGCAGGGACAGGTCCTAACGAAATGAACTGATCACTGCAGCATTGTTTGTTTTTTTTTTGGTCCAAATTATGTAAATAAATAACAACAAACGAGGAAAATGGATGTGTTTGATTCTAACATGCTTGCTCTGAATCCAAACATGGTGAATTCTCTTCCTGTGGTGAATAAAGATCCAAGGAAAAAGATCCAGCAGAAGTCCCCTCTTATGTGTGATCACATATCAGTGCAGACTGACGTCTGAAACGTTGTTAGCTGGCAGCTGATGGTGAAATGCTGAGCTGATGTCAGATCTACTCCAGGTGTTAAAACAGTTCTGGATGTGGTGCTCACCACAGGACACATCTGCTCCTGGAAAACAGAACAGAATCAGCATAGACTTACTTTTATCTTTATTTCCACCTTCATTTATTCTAATTAGAAGAATGAAAAACCGCCCCTATGAAGGGGTGTATTCATATACATAACTATGCTTATTTGTCTCTGCAGCTTCCTATTCTAATGCTCTTTGTGATGGAATGGGAGGCAGGGAGGAGGATGGAAACCCGGGGAGGAGAAATGGCCCTCCTGCTGCTTATGCTGGACTAATGCTAACATAAAGCACATTATCTTCTATGTGGTCACTAGTAAGAAACCATTTTTACAAATACCGTTCTTGTGTTAATCATTCATTCTTGCTAAACAGTTATTTTCCACTTTGAGATCTGTATGTCTGACATTTTCCATTCCGTGCATTTAAAATTAACAATACGGATGGCATGCAGAAAAGTATGCATTCATTGCGATCTTTGAATCACAGGCAAATAGACCTAGGTACTAAAATATTTGTTAAGTTTACCTTTGCTCCCAGCTAAAATAAAAACATTTGGAATCATCAACATATGTGTGAACTGTCTGTGATAGGACAATGCAGAATGGCCAAAAGTGAGTTAAAACAAAAGATGTAAATCATTTTCATAGCTACCTATGGTCAATTACTCTTGATCCTAGAAACAGTTTGATCTTATATTCTGTTTTTACATGTTTATCAGATGAAAAGAAATTGATTTTGCATAGAAATATATGTCAATAAACACAGAAACATAATCAATAAATCCTAAAAACTATTGTCCTTGACAGTGATGAATAAACCTCTTTTAGCAATATATATATATATATATTTTTAGAATTGTATTGATCTCACAATGGAGAAATTAACTCTCTGCATTTAACCTATCCCCTTGGAGAGCAGTGGGATGTGCATCACTATGCAGCATCCAGAGAGCAGTGTGGGGTTAAGGGTCTTGCTCAGGGACCCAGAGTGCAGGCTGTGGGGATCTAACCGGATACTTGCAACCCTCTCAGAGCACAAGTGCACTGCTCTAACCACTAGGCCAACACTCCCCAATTACCCAGTTTAGATGTAAACTGAACACATAGGTATCAGTTTAGATCAGTTTAAGAGTCGACAGGTTAATATGGACAAAATGTTGCACCATAACAATGATCACATCCTTACAAATGATCAAATTAAAAAAAACCTAGCGGTGAAGATGGATAAAGTTTCAGTCAGACACAGGCGCAATTACCTAAGGCCTGAATATAAAACCTACAGTTTTAGATCTATTTGATAAAAATGAATCTATAAATCTCTAATTAGAAAAATGATCACAATAATATCAATATTCTGAGGCTGCATGGTGGTACAACTTGTAACAACAGGCATTTAAAAAAACTAAATTTTTCTTCCTGTTTTTTATTGTTATGTTAAAAAAACACTGATATAACTTCTTCTAAATCCTGTATATTAGTAGCCTTTACAGTGAGGAAAATAAGTTTTTCAACACCCTGCTAATTTGCAAGTTCTCCCCATTAGAAATGGGTCTGTGGGGGTGAAATTGTCACCATAGGTCCACTTTGAGAGATATAATCTAAAAGAAAAACATCCAAAAATCTAAACATGTTTTTTTAACGATTTATTTGTATGATACAGCTGTAAATAAGTATTTCAACACTTGCCTATCAGCTAGAATTCTGACCCTCAAAGACCTGTTAGTCTGCCAGCAAAATGTCCACCTCCACTCCATTTATTATCCTAAATTACATACACCTTTTTGAGGTAATTAGCTGCATAAAGGCACCTGTACACCCCATACAATCAGTAAGAATCCAACTACTAACATGGCCAAGACCATAGAGTTGTGCAAAGACACTAGAGATAAAATTGTACACCTCCACTGTTGGAGCAATCTTTAGATAATGGAAGAAGCTAAACATGACTGTCAATCTCCTTCAGACTGTGGCTCCATGCAAGATCTCAGCTGATAAAGTCTCAATGATCCTAAGAAAGGTCAGAAATCAGCCCAGAACTACACGGGAGGAGCTGGTCAATGACCTGAAAAGAGCTGGGACCCCCGTTTCCAAGGTTACTGTTGGTAATACACTGAGACGTCATGTTTGAAATCATGCATGGCACAGAAGGCTCCCCTGTTTAAACCAGCAAATGTCAAGGCCTGCCTTAAGGTTGTGAATGACCATATGGATGATCCAGAGGAGTCATGGGAGAAAGTCATGTGGTCAGATGAGACCAAGATAAAACTTTTTGGTCATAATTCCACTAACTGTGTTAGGAGGAAGAAGAACAAGAACACCATCCCTATTGTGAAGAATGGGGTTTGTAGCTTCATGCTTTGGGGGTGTTTTTCTGCACATGGGACAGGGCGACTCTACTGTATTAAGGAGAGGATGACTGGGGCCATGTATTGTATTAGAGCATTGAAGGTAGGTCGAGGCTGGGTCCTCCAACATGACAATGACCTGAAACACACAGGATAACCGGCTCTGGAAGAAGATTATCAAGGTTCTGATGTGGCCCAGCCACAGTCCAGACCTAAACCCAATTCAGAATCTTTGGAGGGAGTTCAAACTCTGTGTTTCTCAGTGACAGCCAATAAACCTGATTGATGTAAAGAAGATCTGTGTGGAAGAGTGGGCCAAAATCCCTCCTGCAGTGTGAAAAACTGGTGAAAAACTACAGAAAACTTTTGACCTCTGGAATTGCAAGCAACCACTACTGTACCAAATATTAACATTGATTTTCTCAGGTGTTCAAATACTTATTTGCAGCTGTATCATACAAATAAATAGTTAAAAATCATACATTAGGATTTCTGGATTTATTTTTTACTTATGTCTCTCACAGAGGACATGCACTTTTGCATGATTTCAAAGTGGGAGAACTTGCAAAATAGCAGGGTGTTCAAATACTTTTTTTCCTCATTGTATATCAAAAAAACGTTAATTGTCCTGTTCTTATATTGTGCCTTTTTCAAGTCAAGGGACTCCAAAGCACTTTATACAAATTTAAGTCATTCAAACACTGATGGTGGTAAGCTCCATTGTAGCCACAGCTGTCCTGGGGCACATTGACAAAGGCAAGGCTGTCGTACCCAGGTGCCATCTAACCACATGACATCAAGACAGACAGAGCTGCTTTTTGAAAACTCTGGTTGCAGGACCAACTGCATCATGCCTTTCTGGCACCCTGATAATGTGCAAAGAAATCTACCAAGTAATAAGGCTAAATGAAAAAAAAAATTAAAAAAAGGTTACTGTATCTGAATAGCCATATCAAATCCTAATTCCCAGCCATAAAACATAGAACATTTCAAAATGACAAATTTGTTGATTCAAAACTAACTGAAAAACCTACTGCAAACTAAACCAGACAAAGAAGATAACAATAATTTCTATTTCACTTTACCTATATGAGGACATGTCTGTTAATTATTCTCACCTTCATTTTGTTTGCTAAGTTTTTTGAGTCCCAGAATCCCGCTCATTGAAAACCTGGACTCAAAGGGGCAGTCTGCTCCTATAGAAACAGATGATGCTATGAAGTAGAGATACAACAAATTATGGGGCTAAAGGTAGAACAGTTAGAAGGATGATAGGGAAACACTCACCATCTTCACATGGCTTTGCCTGTATTTTCTTCCTGATGATCCTACAAAGACCAAAACAATCAACACGGATCTGTGGATTCAAGCAGAACAACTGAAAAAACCTTACCTGTTGATAGAGCTGATGCTGGGAACGTTGCTGCAATCACACACTTGTTCCAGCACCAGCCTGTCTCGGATCTCCCAGGCAAACATAGTGGGGTTGTCGTGTTTCAGCTGCAGAATCTTTTGAACTACTTTTGGGGTTGCCACCTTGGGCTTGGAGCCTCCTATCAGCCCCGGTCTAATGCTTCCTGTCTCATTGTACCTGGAGTAGATTAGAATGATACAAGCCAAGGAATGGTTGACATTTCAACACGTATGGATAAAGAGGCAACCCTTACATGCATGCAAATTGAATTGCATGTATTATGCAATTCAAACAACAAATTTTCTGGATGTGAAAAAAAAATACTCTCATTAGTATTAATTTTGATTAAGCATACATCATTAATGTATTTCAAATAAACAAGTTATATCAAACTGATGAACATGAATTGTGTAAGGTTTATTTAATTGGGCTGTTTTAAAATATATTTTTAAAAAAGCAAATGGGAATTGGTTATGTAATAAAATAACATAAATCTTAAAATACGTTATTGAATTAATTTCAGGTGATATTTTTTTTCTGAATATCAACGTTTGTTGTGTAAAGTTTAACAATATAACCAATAAATATAAAAAAAAATGTATGCCCAATTTTTTAAAAAGAGATTTCAAAGCAAAAGTTAAAAAAAATCCAAGGAAGGAAAGAAAAATTATTAGTGTTAATAACAATTAATAGCTGCTATAACTTAGAGTAAAATGTAATAAAGCTTCACGTGACCAAAGGCTATATGTTTATTTCATCATCTATCAAATAAAATGTTTAAGGTTTTGGCCACTGTTCAAAGCCCTCGTAAAAACAGACATGATAAGAATTAGAAAATAGAATATATTTATGGCAAACACCTTTATGAATTACTATATGAGTGAATCCATTTCAAACTGCGGTTACCTGGTCAGTATTTTGCTGACGCAGCCGTGACTGACTCGCAGGCGGCGGGAGATCTCACAGGGGCGCACGCCCTGCTGCGCGAGCTCCACGATGCGCTGTCTAACCTCGTGCGGTAAGGGCCGCCCGTTGATAAAAACTCCGCCGAGCTGATTGACCCCACCGAGCCCTGGGAGGAGAACCAGACCACCCAGTTAGAACTTTAGACAGGCAAAGGCGCACTACTGCTAAGGTTTAAATACTTACTGTGCGTAACGGTGAACGGAACCAGTCCAAAAGTGACGTCCATCACAGAAACGCAAGAAAAAACACTATGAACTAATAAACTTGTGTTTCTGCCCACAGTCCGGCGTTAAAACATAAAAGCAGAAGCAAGAAAACTACACCTTATATCAGGCGTCCTGTCTTTAAAGAAATCCAAAGTCAGATACCCTCGGCTATTTAAACAGACACGTATGTGATTAACTATAGGAGTTAAAAATACCGAATAAATACAAATTTTAAAAACCAAAAAGTTAAACAAAGGCTGCCTCTCTGCGGTTTCAGCACCGGATCTGTGGAGAGCGGCCAAAGCTCTGAGCGCACAGGTGGGAGGAGGCGCGCACTTACGCACAAATAGATGGAGACGGAGTTTTACAAGTAGAAATACTTCTTCTACCAACGGCGTAGGTTTGATTTCAACTTTGGTATGGACACTATTGGTCTGATGTCATTGTTCCTATGCAAAAATAGGCATGCTTATTTTTTTATGCATGACGTGAAAATCAGTGTATTTCATTTAAAGAGAAAAACAGCATTTATTTCTACATTTATACAAACTTTATAAGCATTGCACACACTGGATGCTGTTTATCAATGACCAAAGCTTAACTGGCTCTGATGAATGAGGAATTAGGACTTTTTTCTACCTTGAGAAGATTTGCATTTGAAATTACCAGCGACTAAGACAGTAGGTAAATCTGTGCCTATTTAACAGAATATAGTCTAAATATGTCTGCTATATGTGTATTTATACTTTTTTTTTATTTTGAAGATATAGTATTGTGCAGAGGTAAACAGAGGTAAAACCCACTCTTATCTTTTAAATGTTATCTTTGTAATATGAATTAAAGTGAAATAATAGATTCAAGGGATGCCAAATACATGTATTGTATTTACATGTGCACTGGAACTAGAAGATGAACTGACATTCACTCTACAAGTTGTATATCTAGGTTGTAGTTACTCTGTTTAACCCATTTCATGTATTTTATTTAGGGCTGAAACAATTCATCGTATTAATCAATTTTTGAAATAATGTCAACAAATTTAGTAATCGATTAATCATTAACTGGAGTATAGAGACTTTAAAACATGTCTTTAGCTCACAAAGTGACCAACTTGGAGCAGGAATTATACCAAAATTGTAATAAATAAATAAATAAATAAAGAAATAAACATTTTGCATTTTAGATAAAAAAAAATGTTTTTGTCTATATTCTCCATCCAGAACTCCTGTACTGCTACAACAACGCTGTATTGTAAATTATAAACATGTTCTTCACATGTAATTGTTGGTAGAGACAAGTAGGTTGGTCCAAAATTTTATTAGGGACAGGTCCCTTTGGTCCCTATGAAAACCTACGCCCATGTCTTCTACTATATGATTACAAATTCAGATCAGTAAACTTAATATTTCAGTCACAGTCAACATTTTTCTGACATGTAAAGGCAGCATTACACCATTTTAGAAATATATACCCACAGAGAATCCATCGTTATCTATAATGCTGTCTATCTATTTTTTTTTATGCTTTAATGATAGGCTTACAGATTATCAAAGATTGATGACAGATAAAGTGATTTTCCCCATAATTTTTAAGTAAATCTTTTTTTTAATGCTGTCTCCAGACAAATGATATATAGTATATTTGAAATGTTACACAATCTTTATTTTCTACATTTAGCCTCACGAAACGAAACTTTGTTGTGATTGTGTAACATGGAATTACTCAGTTATTTAGGCTCCCTTTTCATTTATTTATTACTCCTTTATGACTAATTTTGTATCCATTCTTTGTAGCTGGCAGCCACTTGAAATAAAACAAACAAACATAGATAAAGTCTTCAAATCCATTTGAGAAGGAGGCACGCTACCTTCCCTTAAGATGTTCGGTTGAAGCTTTATTAAATATACTAGAAATAAAACACGTTGAAGTTTTAAGGCTGCAATGTGATAAATGAAGGAAAAGGGCTATAAAGTCTATTCAGAATAGAAAAAAAAGGGAATGTTAAACGTTTTGCTTCAAAAAACAAAACCATACATTAAAAACTCTGCTGTAATAAATACAGTTAGAATTTATTAGAATAAAATTAAATGTATATAACATCTTTCTTAATTATACAGGTGTCGCCTGTAACACCGGAAACAAAAAGTGCTGCTAACTCCGGGTAACATTTTAGTCGTCCAACATTTACCGGAAGTTCCGGTTTCCTGCTAATCATAGCCACATGCATATAAACTCGCTAAGCGCTATTTTCCCACTGCTGTATGGAGGGAACAGAGTGTATATAACAGGAGATAATCGCTACTAAGATACGGTAAAGTAACATAGAGTACAACAGAGATGCAGAGATATTTTGACGAGATTTTTTGAACTTTAGCTTCTTTGCTAGGTGCTGCTTTACTCTAATGTCTCTCACTAGTTATGAATATTGATAAAACAGGCTTGAGACAAATGTAAAGTAAGTCTTTGGCCAATTCATGTTATTTCAGTAGCGGTAAGAACAAAGAAAGTGTGTTATTAATGTGTTATTATCCCGCTCAATATAACTGCAGTGCACCAAGTCACCACTGAGTGGCGCTACTATCCCTGTTTGTACAATGGACTCATTTAAGGAAAACATCAAAGATCATCGTTTCTTCGTTGAGGACTCCATCAGCTCAGGGAGTGAAGAGGAAACATGTTACAGGAACTATCAGAAAAACACAAAGAAGCTCAGCAGAGAAAGCTCTCCTCCAATCATCCTCGCCTTCTCCATCACCTCTGGACAGACCCTGCAGGAGGACACCAGCAGTGTCTCCTCTGCTGTTTCAGAGGAGCAGCTAGAGGAGGACAGTGATCATCAGCCCATTGAAGATTGGATGATGCTGGAGGGAGAGGAGCAGATAGAGGACACACGGATCCAGCTCAACCTAGACTGCTGGGACAGCTCTGATGAAGGAGACGGAGAGGAAGGTTAGAGGTTAATGCAAATATTATCTATAATTCACCACGTCTGCACATGTTAGAGCCACAGATTTCAGTTTGTTTTTAAAGGAACTTTGTGGGATGGATCAGTTCAAAATGAACAGCATCTATAGCATAAGGTGACCAGATTTCTGAAATCCAGTCTGGGGACATTTCCAGCTCGTAGATAAAACTAAATAGTTATAAAAGTTAAAATAGGTGTAAAATACAGGAATGTGCCTCTCCTACTTCCTAACAATAAACCTAACTCAATCTATAGTGTTTATTAGTGCCATGTGGTTATTCAGTCTTCTCTGTCTTCTTCCCTCTCCATCTTCTTTTCTTTCTGACTCCAGCCTACTCTCTGTTTTACTATTCTAAGTAGATTTTTCTTCCTTCTCTTAAACTGATCATTCCACCTGTCTCCCTATTTTCCACCGTTCTCATTCAATCTTCTTTCTATCAGTCTTCCGATGTTCTTCCTCTTCTATCAATCGTACACTAATCTGAAACAAGGACATTATGCAATCAAAGTCCCTTCCAAACGCATATAATCTCATCATACATGTTATGATTATTATGGTAATTATTATTATTATTATTGTTGTGATCTCACCTGGTTAAGTACTAAACAGGCTTATCACCACAATATTTGGAGCTAAAAGTAAACACCTAATAAATGAATATTAAACAGGTGGTTATCTCTTCCTCCATAATTCTCAGATCATGCAGATCTAGTCTCATTCAGTTTTCCTTATACTGTCTCTTATTTTTTATCATGAGGAACTCTCATTCAGTCTATCCAAACTGAGTGGTAGAAAAGTAGACCTATGCCTGGAAGTCTATGCTCATAAATCGCAACAATAAAACAGCAAAACGGCTTATAAATCTACTTACAATGACAAACTATCTTAAGATATGAACTAAAGGTCACAAATCAGTCCTAAAAACATCTTTAGATGAACCCTTGTTGAGCCACAGAACCAGATAAGCGCCTTACAGGGAGTTTTCAATCATTCTGTTTAATGTTATCTGAGTCTATTTCCTAATGCCAGCTGCAGCCAATGGTTTGTCTTACTTTTTGCTGATTAGCTTGCTTTATGTGACATTTTTTCTTCCTAATCTTTAGTAAAACAAAACACAGCAAAGCCCTTTTTAAATTAACCTGGGCATGAACCAGAAATCTACCACAATGATCAAGCTAATTCAAATCAAATGAACTGATTGACACACTCACCATAGCACAGGGGTTTTGATAAAGAACTTCTTCTGCTTTAAAAGTGGTGCGCTCTGCTCCTCACCTATAAGTTAACAGCTGCCAATCAGCTAGCTAACAGCTGTTTCTGTGTGCAGCATGCTCACAAAGTTTTTCTACCCTAATAACAGTCTACAAACAACATTTACTCTCCCAATCATAAAACGGTAAAATCGCGGACAGCTTTAGCCGGGGACAGGTGGTTCAAAACGGGGACTGTGCCCCTAAATCAGGGATACCTGCCAGAGAGTAGCGTTTACAGCTGTAGGTAGACCAGTGGCAGAACCACAACATTTTTTGAGGGATGTATGAAAACTGCAGGTCCCATAACCAGATTAGTCAGTCTAGACTAATCACATTGTACCAAGAGGGAAATGAACAAACACAATAGACAGAACAGGTTTTAATGAAAGGAATGGCTCATAAATATGCACTCATATTTATAAATCTATACTGTTTAAATCAATGATTTATGCTCTGTTTGATACAAAGCTGGATAGAGTTGTCAAAAATTGCTCTTAATTAAGAGCTTTACTTTAACAGATTTCTCTCAAGTAAAAATTAACCAACCAAAATATTACTCAAGCAGTAATAAATATGTTTTCATTAAAAAGGCTACTGATATACTGAGAAACTAATGATCACAGCTGATTATTGTTTAAAATAATATAATCAATTAATGAGACCTCAAAATAATATGCATGAAATATAAATACACCATTTAATGTATATGCAACATAGTGCCAAACATATTTGTTCATCTGCTTATATATGTGTTTGAAATTTGATGATATCCTATTCACAATCTATAGAATTTTGTTGATGGATTTCCACTGCCAGCAAAAGCAACTTTTAGTAATCTGGAAGCATTTACCAAAAGTCTGTTGGGTCCATAGTAATTTGTTTAAAGCAGAATTCAATGCTCCAGTTGAGTTCATCCTAAAAGTGTTGTATACGGTTGAGGTCAGGATTCTGTGCAGGCCAGTCAACTTTCTCTAAATCAAACTGCAAACAGGC